TGATTGAAGTAGCAAGGAGACAAGTGACAGTAGGATTAGCAGCACGAGCAAGGTCGAACTTAGGGTCAGGAACGTCAGGAAGAGAGGACGTTGGAGGAGACGGCAGGTCAAAACGCTGTTGAACAGAGGAAAGACGAAGTGTCATAGTGTGCGTGCCATGGAAAAATGGAGGACAAGGATGACGAGCCTGACTGACAATGCGAACAGGGGAGGCATGAGGAGACTCAGGCTCACGACGCACTGTCAGGGACTCTGTCTGCTCAAGGTAAGGAGAAGGAGCAGGCACTGGAGAGCCAGGCAGTAACTGCGGGTGCGATTGGTCAGGCGGAGGAGACTGGAGAGGCGGAGTAAGGCCAGTGGAAGACGGAAGACTAAGAACTTGACGAAGTGCCGAGCTAGGCGGTGGCAGGGACGATTGCGGCTGCGGGTAGAAAAACCCACAGTACCAGAGCCTCCAGCTCCAGTGCCTCCAGCACCTCCAGCACCAGCAGCTCGAGTACCTCCAGAACCTCCAGCACCAGCAACTCCAACACCTCCAGCACCTCCAGCTCCAGTACCTCCAGGCCCAGTACCTCTAGCTCCAGTACCTCCAGTGCCTGCAGCTCCAGTACCTCCAGCACCAGCAGATCCAGTACCTCCTGTACCAGCAGCTCCAGCACCTCCAGCACCAGCAGTTCCAACACCTCCAGTACCAGCAGCTCCAGCACCTCCAGCTACAGTAGCTCCAGCACCTCCAGCTACAGTAGCTCCAGTACCTCCAGCACCAACAACTCCAGTACCTCCAGCACGAGCAGCTCCAACACCTCTAGTACCAGCAGCACCTCTAGCTGCAGCACCTCCAGTTCCAGTACTCCGAGCTCCAGCAACTCGGCCCCTCCAAACAACCCAGTCGCGAAGCTGCTGTGGCGAGAGGGTGTCGTGTCTGCGAGACTGTTGCTGTGGTCCAACACATCTGAGGGAGCAGGACCCTGTGGGGGGAGGGGGTCTACCGGGGGGGGACCTGGGACTAGGAAGAGGGGCGGCGGGAGGACTGGAGAAGACACGTGCGCGTGGAGATGGTAGAAGCAGACATACTCGTCAAAAGTGACGTCCTGTGAGGACAGGATGAGGCGCGAGGTAGGGTGGTAAAGCTGCCAGGGCGGGGCGTCAGTGGGGAAGCCAAGGAAGACGCAGCGGAGAGTGCGAGGAAAGAGCTTGCCCGCGGTGATATCGTGGACAAGGGAGAGCGCGCCCCAGACCCAAAACGCCGACGCATCGCCAACCTCCCCTGTCCAACGCAGTGGTTGAGCTGATGCGCGGCGTATCGGACCGCAAACGGCCACAGAAAATGGGGAGCAGCCGCATGGATCATGGAGGTGCGACCAACCTCACGATCAAGCCAATGCGATGCTCAGCAATCCCATTTCGCTGTGGAGTGGCCGGAAACGTGAATGACTGGGCAATGCCCTCGGCACGAAAAAAACCCTCAAGGAGGCGGAAGGAAAGCTCACCACATCTGGTGCAGTCGCAGGACCTGGAGGTCCTGCTGAAACCGCGCTTTCAGCCTTGCTCTGCAAGGGGAAGACTGTGGTGTAGCGCATCGTCAACAACTAGGAGGAAATAGCGTTCCTGGTCCTGTCCACGGACGCGGGCTAGGCCCCACACGTCCATGTGGAGAGTGTGTGGTCGGCGGAAACGAGGAGGGGTGAGGAGTGGCGCGCTGCCGCCCCTCGACGCAGGGAAGGCACGGCGGCGCAGGCGAGCCCGGGAGAGGGGGCAGGGACCTGGGGAGGCCAGAGACTAGGAGACGAGAGTGCATGCCCCGGAGGCATGGCAGAGAGGGGTGACCAAGACGGTGGTGCTAGAGGAGAGTCTGGTGCGTGAGGAGCCGACACGAACAAGACGCAGCTAACTGACCCGACGCAGCTACCTGTGCAAACTTAGTGGTCAGCGTGTACAGGCCAGACCCGGGTCTCTGAGTGAACGTGGTGAGGTGGGCGCCAGTCCGTGAGTCTTTACAGATCGCCACAAGCTCACATCTAGGAGTATTCACGGTGACAAACTGGTCCTGGAGGACACCGTTACTCACCATGTTCGTAGTGAACGAGGGGAGGTGGAGACGTGCAAGCGAGCCGAAAGGGCTGCCGGACACGAGAGAACGGTGGAGGTACGTGCTATGACTGGGCCCCTAAAGGGGTCAGCCAGACTGATCGGGATAGGTATAGTGAGTGGTGTGATTGTGGTACAGTCGTGGAAGAAGCAGCGAGTCGCGCCTCAGTCAGGCATGAAGGTGTGCAAAGCCTCCACAGGAGCTGCAAAAGTGCTAGCAGGCTCACATGCACCTACACTGGTTGCTTCTACACTACTAGGGGCGTTTTGCTGAGAATACCACTCTTAAAGCTGCTTCGGCGAGGGGGTCTCCGGTTGAATCTGCTGCCGCTGCTGATCATCTCTAGAACCATCGCCTCCACTAGTGGCACCACTTGCTGGAGCAGACGTACAGGTACCTACACTCTCCTCCACGACGAGCGGATGCACCTCCTCCAACAACGGACACCGCTTCTGTAGTGGCCGAGTGGCAGGAGAGAGGGAGGAGTTGTGGCTATCAATAGCGTCGAACAAAGTCTGGGCCGACGTTACCTGTCGAAAGTGGTCCCTCTGGTCGACTGGCAGGAGAGCTCGGACGGCACGCTATGCGATAGCATCTCACTCCGTCCACTTTCTGTAGGCAAGGGTGCCCGCCAGGTACCGCCTCTGCACGTCCTCGCCAGCGTCATCAGGAGGCTCCATAGGAGTCGGAGAGGCCGGAAGTGACCCTGACGTGTACTCAAGTAGGGAGACGCCATCTCTAATGTAACGTCGGAGATGCAAGCGCAAGCACATAAGCCAGAACCCTAACCTGTACGGGCATCCATCGGCGTCAACCGCTAAGGCCGGCGGCTTTGCCATGAAGGGCAGTGTAGTGGCTAGGGCAGTGCGTATGCAACTAGAGTAGCGCGCTCGCAGCTAAGGCAGCCCGCGGGCAGCAGGGCATGCGAGGCGCAGCAGGGCGGGTGGGGCGCGAGCAGCGTAGGCGTGTGGGCTGCAGGGTAGGGCGGCACATGGGCTGCAGGGCAGGGCGGCGTGCATGCTGCAGGGCAGGGCTGCGCGCAGGCTTCAGGGCAGGGCGGCGCGCCGGCTGCAAGGCAGGGCAGCGTGCAGGCTGCAGGGTAGGGCGGCGCGCGTGCAGAGCAGGGCGCTAGCAGGGCAACGTGCGGGTCGCGCGCTGAGCAGCAAGCGGGCAGTGCGCAGGGCAGGGCAGAGTGCGTGGGGCAAAGCAGGCAGGGCAGCGTGGGGGATGCTGTCCGGGCAGGGCAGGAACGAACGATTAGGGCAGTACGGGCTCTTCGAAGCTAGCAGTGGGCCCTAACGGAGCGGTCCTACGGAGGGACCTGCTCTGAATACTATGTCATGAATAACGTGTAGGAATGATCGAGTAAAAGCATGAGATGAGTACAATTACTAGGTCTAACCCTTATGTGGTGTACTCAGTAGAGGCTACCCCATTACAACCTACAGATATACAAACACATGTGACACCTTGGCCTTCCAGCCGACGCGCCTGACTGGCAGTTTTACCACCCAGCCACCTTTAACTAGTCGATCTTCTACTACCGTCTCTACCCCCACCGCAGTTGCCCTGTGCCCTCCTCCGTCTCTTCTTGGTTCCACGTCCCCGCCAGGTAGACCCCCCCCCTCCCCCCTCGTCCTGCTCCTTCAGGTGTGTCTCACGCCACCCCACTCCCCTTGGTTGTGCCTTTGGAGGTCTCCTCAGACTCCTCTGGCCTGGCTTAGGGGGGTGACAATGCCGCTAACGATACAGCGGCTTCTCGCTACCAGCCGCGCTTGGAGACACCTCCTGGTTTTCCACCTCAGCCATCTCCGCCCCCCATTTCGCCACCTCCGCTGCAGCCTGTCGCTGTGGAATCCGGGGGCCCTGGTGCTGTTGGGGGTGGTGACTCTGGAGGTGTGGGTTTTGCGGGTGCTGGTTCTGTGGGTGCTGGTTCTGTGGGTGCTGCCTCAAGGGGTCTAAGGGTCCTCGCGTTGGTGGGGTTGATGGTGTTGCTGCTAGAGGTTCTGGGGGTGCTAATTCTGGAGGTGAATCTAAAATGACTGTTAGAGTGAATATAGAATGAGAGAGGTGAATATATCAGAGAATTATAGCATTTCGAATGAAATTAAGCTACTAACTGTCCTAACTAGCCATGTACAAAAAAAAAAAAGAAATGGTTGACCAACCTTGAACATTCAACCCAAAGCCCTTGCAACCCTTGTCGCCAATCACACCTGATTGACTAAATTGTGTATATGGCTAAGATAGCAAGTGGTGTGAGTTGTGATAGTAGTGTGGGTGGAATAGCGAATATCAAAGACGTGCCTCAAAGTCCTTGTAAAACAAATGAAAACCTAGGCAGGATATAACGGTGACCCTAAATAGGTAGTGACCTCGGAAATCAAAGTTTGACACATGTTGCGCACGAAGTCTGAAAACGACACGATATAGCTGTTGGTTAGATGGCATAGGTCCGAACCTTTCTGTTTGAAAGTCGGAATTGTTCGACACGCAGCGAAACCCAGTAAAGAAAAATCTCCTACACCAACGAAGCAACACAACGAAGGTGTAGACGACAAGCACGTCCGGAAAAAACCAGTCAAGATGGTTGATGCTTACAACAAGAAGGGATGCGACGACGAGTATGATATGAAAGAAGAATGCCCCAGAGCAGTAAGAAAACACCTTGAATGGAAACAGAGCCTTGAGGTGTATAAAACAAAAGAACCAGGCGGATATCGAACCCACTGATCAAACATTGATTGGAAGGTTTGTGCTACTGGTCCTGACGACGATGGAGTTTAGTTGTATACTATGCGTTGTTGTGCAAATCAGCCATTGAGCGTTTCCCTCGTTTGATCGGTAGCCACGGCCATACAATCGCACATGGGTCGCGGAAAGCGCGAGGCGGAGGGCAATCGGAGCGGTAATGGAGGTCGGGGGAAATCGAAGCGGCACAAGTCGCGATACCTGAACGCTGTGAGCCTTTAAACTTATGTCGCGACGCATTAGTCAACATAAACCGGCAGGCGTGTACCAATGTTTTTCTTGGCTGACAGACGAATAACGACGATAATCAGCGACAATTCTGCAGGCGCGTTCAGTCGCGTTTCGGTCGCGAGTCGCGGCAGCATCCGTTGCGCGTCGCCGCTGCTATGATCTTGGCGGCGTCGCCGCTGTGATCTCCGCGGCGGCGTGCGCTCACCAGCCCGATCCGCCCCACTTCCCGCCCTTCCTCTTCAACCCCTTCCCCCCCTTTCCTTTCGTGCCCTCTCCTCCCGCTCGCGCACACACCTCCGTCTTCCCTCCCCCCTTCTCTTCTCCTCCTCCCATCGTGTGCTCCCACGGCGCCGCCTCTCCCCTCTGGTCCTCAGATCGCCTTGATCACTTAGGTTTACACAGAGCAGATTTTTCCGCTGTCGCCTCTCCCCTCTGGTCCTGATATCGCTTTGAGCACTTGGTCTTACACAGAGCGGATTTTCCCGCCGTCGCCTCTCTCCTCTGGTCCTCACCCGTCCGGCCCGTGTCGCCCGCTGTCCCCCTTCCCCTCCCCCCACCCCTGCTGTCCCCCTTCCCCTCCCCCCCACCCCCGCCGTCTCTCTTCCCTCCCACATCCCGGCCCACGAATCTCCGTTGCCACGCAACCAAAACCCGAAACTCTTGGTTGTTGCTCGCTCTCTCCCATGCACCCAAAACCCGAAACCCTTTGTTGTTGCTCGCTCTCCCATGCATCCAAAACCCCAACCTCGATCTCCTCTTTCGAAGTGGCGGCGGGCAGCAGCAGGCAGGGAGCGAGAGTGCAGGTGAAGGATCGATTGTTTCTTCCTTTGCTCCTTCACCCTAAACCCTATGATCCAGAATGGGGGGAAGGCGGCGCCCAGAATGTATGGCAGCAAGGGGGCTGGCAGGGGGAGGGATTGGAGGTGGTTTGCAACCGTTTCTTACTTCTGCTCCCCCCCCTTCTGCTCCTCTCCTCCTCTCCCTTCTGTGCCCCCCCCTGCTATTCCTCCTCACCCTTCTCCCCTCCCCCATTTCTCCTCCTCCCCCTTCTCCTCCTCCCCATTCTTCTCCTCCCCCCTCTGCTCCTCCGTCTTCTGCTCCTCCCCCCTCTGCTCCTTCTGCTCCGCCCCTCCCCCTCGTGCCCCTCCCCCTTCTGCTCCTCCCTCTCGTGCGCCACAGAGTGGAGGGGGAGCGGGCCCCATCGCGAATGGCAACAGGGGGTGGCTGGTGTGGAGTGTGACCAGCAGGGAGAGAGAGTGCGGGCTTGTTGTTGTTGGAGTCGAAACAAAGTAAATTGTTCCTTTGATCCTCCTCCTTCCCTCTTCTGCGCCTCCCTCTCGTGCGCCTCAGAGTGGAGGGGGAGCGGGCCCTATCGCGAATGGCAGCAGGGGGTGGCTGGTGTCGAGTGTGACCGGCAGGGAGAGAGAGTGCGGGCGGGAGATTGTGAACGTGCTCGATGAGGTGAGGCACGAGCACACAGTGAGGGAGAGGAGGGGGGGGAGGGGGTGGTAAGAGGTGATCAGGAGATCAGCTTGTGAGGTGACATGCACAGGGGATCAGCTTGATGAGGTGAGGCGGCAAGGAGGTGAGTGGGGCGCACAGGCAAACGATAGAACCTGGAGGGTAGGTAGATAGATGACTGGGCAAGCACTGGGGAAGGTGGTTGTGGAGGGCCTATCTGACTGAGCTGTTTTGCTTTTCTTCCTTCCATCTCCCCTGCTTGGCCCACACGCCGTTGTGCGGCGGCAAGCTGGTGCCCGTGAAGGCGCGGGCTGAGGGGGAGGCAAGCACTGGGGAAGGTGGCTGGGGAGGGCTTATCTGACTGAGCTGATGTTGCTTTCTCCTCTGTTCGCCCCACACACAGTGGTGTGACAAGCTGGAGGCAGCAAGGCGCAGAGGAACGGGTAGGGTGAGGCAAGCACTGGGGAAGGTGGCTGGGGAGGGCTTTTCTAACTGAGCTGATGTTGTTCCTACTCCTTCCATCTCCACTGCTTGCCCCACACACCGTTGACCGACAATCTGGTGCCCATGAAGGTGCGGGCTGAGGGGGAGGCAAGCACTGGGGAAGGTGGCTGGGGAGGGCTTATCTGACTGAGATGATGTTGCTTTCTCCTCTGTTCGCCCCACACACAGTGGTGTGACAAGCTGGAGGCTGGCAAGGCGCAGGGGGAGGGGGAGGGGGAGGCACGGACTGGGGAAGGTGCATCTGCAGGGAAGGCGAAGGGGGGTTCGTCCATCGATGCGCTGCTGGCGAATGAAGTGGCAGCACTCAAGAAACAGGTGCGTGCGTGTGGAGAGGGGGTTGAGGAAACAGGTGTGTGTGTTTTGCAGCGGCTCACAGGTGCGTGGGATGGGTAGGTGGGTGCCTTTTCCCTCCTTTCCCCTTGTTGTTCCTTCACCCTCCCCTTATCTCCCTCCCACTCCCTCCCCTCGTATCCCTCCTTCTCCCTGTGTCCCTCAGGCTCGATTGCAATCGTGGCCTCAGGCTACCAGGTGCCCCTGTTTTGTTCCCCTTGTGCATCCTCGCCTCCTTGTTCCCTCCTTTCTCTTCTCTCTCCCTTCCTTGTGCATGCCCCTCAGCCTCAGTTCATGAGTGTGTAGTCTGGGTGCAAGGCGCTGCTGTTCGCATAAATGCCCAGCACAAACACCCATCACTTCCCTCTCTCGCAATCCTCTTTTCCCTCCCTCTTCCTCCCCTTGCCCCTCGTCTTGTCCCTCCCCTTGTCCTCAACGCTCTCACCTGGTCTCACTTCGGGGTGTGGAGTCTCGCTGGCTGCAAGGCGCTGCTGTTTGCGAGAATGCTAAGTGGAAACCCTTATCGCTCCTCCTCTCTCTCCCATCGTCTTTCTCCCTCCCCTTGCCCCTACCGTTTGCCCTCCCCTTGCCCCTACCGTTTGCCCTCCCCTTGCCCCTACCGTTTGCCCTCCCCTTGCCCCTACCGTTTGCCCTCCCCTTGCCCCTACCGTTTGCCCTCCCCTTGCCCCTACCGTTTGCCCTCCCCTTGCCCCTACCGTTTGCCCTCCCCTTGCCCCTACCGTTTGCCCTCCCCTTGCCCCTACCGTTTGCCCTCCCCTTGCCCCTACCGTTTGCCCTCCCCTTGCCCCTACCGTTTGCCCTCCCCTTGCCCCTACCGTTTGCCCTCCCCTTGCCCCTACCGTTTGCCCTCCCCTTGCCCCTCCTGTTCGCCCTCCCCTTCACATCCCTCAGCCTCGGTTCGTGAGTGTGGAGTCTGGGTGCAAGGCACTGCTGTTCGTGAGGATTAGAGAGGATGCCAGGAAGGGGGGGAAGGGAGAGAAGGGAGGAAAGCAGTTGGAGGAGGGAGAGGAGAAGGAGGAGGAGGGTGAGAAGGAGGAGGTGGGGAAGACGGAGGAAGGGGAAAAGGAGGAGGAGAAGGGTGAAGGAGACAAGGAGGGGAAGGAGGGGGATAAGGCCGGGGAAAAGGAGCAGGAGAAAGAGCAGGAGGAAGAGGTTACAGGAGGAGGAGAGAAGGAACCGGAGAAGGAGGGACAGGGAGGGGAGGGGGAGAAAGGGGAGGCAGGGGGAGAGCAGGGAAGGGTGTCGCCGTGTGAGTTGGCAGAGGCGGTGCTGCGGCATGCCAAGGCCACCCAGCAGTCAGCCACTCGGTGGGTGTGGGGCAGTGGGTGTGGGGCAGTGGGTGTGAGGCAGTGGGTGTGAGGCAGTGGGTGTGAGGCAGTGGGTGTGGGGCAGTGGGTGTGGGGCAGTGGGTGTGAGGCAGTGGGTGTGGGGCAGTGGGTGTGGGGCAGTGAGTGTGAGGCAGTGGGTGTGGGCCAGTGGGTGTGGGGCAGTGGGTGTGAGGCAGTGGGTGTGGGGCAGTGGGTGTGGGGCAGTGGGTGTGAGGCAGTGGGTGTGGGGCAGTGGGTGTGAGGCAGTGGGTGTGAGGGAGTGGGTGTGGGGCAGTGGGTGTGGGGCAGTGGGTCTGAGGCAGTGGGTGTGGGGCAGTGGGTGTGGGGCAGTGGGTGTGGGGCAGTGGGTGTGAGGCAGTGGGTGTGGGGCAGTGGGTGTGGGGCAGTGGGTGTGAGGCAGTGGGTGTGGGGCAGTGGGCGTGGGGCAGTGGGTGTGAGGCAGTGGGTGTGAGGCAGTGGGTGTAAGGCAGTGGGTGTGAGGCAGTGGGTGTGGGGCAGTGGGTGTGAGGCAGTGGGTGTGGGGCAGTGGGTGTGGGGCAGTGGGTGTGGGGCAGTGGGTGTGGGGCAGTGGGTGTGAGGCAGTGGGTGTGAGGCAGTGGGTGTGAGGCAGTGGGTGTGAGGCAGTGGGTGTGGGGCAGTGGGTGTGGGGCAGTGGGTGTGGGGCAGTGGGTGTGAGGCAGTGGGTGTGGGGCAGTGGGTGTGAGGCAGTGGGTGTGGGGCAGTGGGTGTGGGGCAGTGGGTGTGGGGCAGTGGGTGTGAGGCAGTGGGTGTGAGGCAGTGGGTGTGGGGCAGTGGGTGTGAGGCAGTGGGTGTGAGGCAGTGGGTGTGAGGCAGTGGATGTGAGGCAGTGGGTGTGAGGCAGTGGGTGTGAGGCAGTGGGTGTGGGGCAGTGGGTGTGGGGCAGTGGGTGTGAGGCAGTGGGTGTGGGGCAGTGGGTGTGGGGCAGTGGGTGTGAGGCAGTGGGTGTGGGGCAGTGGGTGTGAGGCAGTGGGTGTGAGGGAGTGGGTGTGAGGCAGTGGGTGTGAGGCAGTCGGTGTGGGGCAGTGGGTGTGAGGCAGTGGTTGTGGGGCAGTGGGTGTGGGGCAGTGGGTGTGGGGCAGTGGGTGTGGGGCAGTGGGTGTGGGGCAGTGGGTGTGAGGCAGTGGGTGTGAGGCAGTGGGTGTGAGGCAGTGGGTGTGAGGCAGTGGTGTGAGGCAGTGGGTGTGGGGCAGTGGGTGTGAGGCAGTGGGTGTGAGGCAGTGGGTGTGAGGCAGTGGGTGTGGGGCAGTGGGTGTGAGGCAGTGGGTGTGGGGCAGTGGGTGTGAGGCAGTGGGTGTGGGGCAGTGGGTGTGGGGCAGTGGGTGTGAGGCAGTGGGTGTGAGGCAGTGGGTGTAAGGCAGTGGGTGTGAGGCAGTGGGTGTGGGGCAGTGGGTGTGAGGCAGTGGGTGTGGGGCAGTGGGTGTGGGGCAGTGGGTGTGGGGCAGTGGGTGTGAGGCAGTGGGTGTGAGGCAGTGGGTGTGGGGCAGTGGGTGTGAGGCAGTGGGTGTGAGGCAGTGGGTGTGAGGCAGTGGGTGTGAGGCAGTGGGTGTGGGGCAGTGGGTGTGAGGCAGTGGGTGTGAGGCAGTGGGTGTGAGGCAGTGGGTGTGGGGCAGTGGGTGTGAGGCAGTGGGTGTGGGCAGTGGGTGTGGGGCAGTGGTGTGAGGCAGTGGGTGTGGGGCAGTGGTGTGGGGCAGTGGGTGTGAGGCAGTGGGTGTGAGGCAGTGGGTGTAAGGCAGTGGGTGTGAGGCAGTGGGTGTGGGGCAGTGGGTGTGAGGCAGTGGGTGTGGGGCAGTGGGTGTGGGGCAGTGGGTGTGGGGCAGTGGGTGTGGGGCAGTGGGTGTGAGGCAGTGGGTGTGAGGCAGTGGGTGTGAGGCAGTGGGTGTGAGGCAGTGGGTGTGGGGCAGTGGGTGTGGGGCAGTGGGTGTGGGGCAGTGGGTGTGGGGCAGTGGGTGTGAGGCAGTGGGTGTGGGGCAGTGGGTGTGAGGCAGTGGGTGTGGGGCAGTGGGTGTGGGGCAGTGGGTGTGGGGCAGTGGGTGTGAGGCAGTGGGTGTGAGGCAGTGGGTGTGGGGCAGTGGGTGTGAGGCAGTGGGTGTGAGGCAGTGGGTGTGAGGCAGTGGATGTGAGGCAGTGGGTGTGAGGCAGTGGGTGTGAGGCAGTGGGTGTGGGGCAGTGGGTTTGAGGCAGTGGGTGTGAGGCAGTGGGTGTGGGGCAGTGGGTGTGAGGCAGTGGGTGTGAGGCAGTGGGTGTGAGGCAGTGGGTTTGGGGCAGTGGGTGTGAGGCAGTGGGTGTGGGGCAGTGGGTGTGAGGCAGTGGGTGTGGGGCAGTGGGTGTGGGGCAGTGGGTGTGAGGCAGTGGGTGTGAGGCAGTGGGTGTGAGGCAGTGGGTGTGAGGCAGTGGGTGTGGGGCAGTGGGTGTGAGGCAGTGGGTGTGGGGCAGTGGGTGTGGGGCAGTGGGTGTGGGGCAGTGGGTGTGGGGCAGTGGGTGTGAGGCAGTGGGTGTGAGGCAGTGGGTGTGAGGCAGTGGGTGTGAGGCAGTGGGTGTGGGGCAGTGGGTATGGGGCAGTGGGTGTGGGGCAGTGGGTGTGGGGCAGTGGGTGTGAGGCAGTGGGTGTGGGGCAGTGGGTGTGAGGCAGTGGGTGTGGGGCAGTGGGTGTGGGGCAGTGGGTGTGGGGCAGTGGGTGTGAGGCAGTGGGTGTGAGGCAGTGGGTGTGGGGCAGTGGGTGTGAGGCAGTGGGTGTGAGGCAGTGGGTGTGAGGCAGTGGATATGAGGCAGTGGGTGTGAGGCAGTGGGTGTGAGGCAGTGGGTGTGGGGCAGTGGGTGTGAGGCGGTGGGTGTGGGGCAGTGGGTGTGAGGCAGTGGGTGTGGGGCAGTGGGTGTGGGGCAGTGGGTGTGAGGCAGTGGGTGTGGGGCAGTGGGTGTGAGGCAGTGGGTGTGAGGCAGTGGGTGTGGGGCAGTGGGTGTGAGGCAGTGGGTGTGAGGCAGTGGGTGTGAGGCAGTGGATGTGGGTCAGTGGGTGTGAGGCAGTGGGTGTGAGGCAGTGGGTGTGAGGCAGTGGGTGTGGGGCAGTGGGTGTGAGGCAGTGGTTGTGAGGCAGTGGGTGTGAGGCAGTGGATGTGAGGCAGTGGGTGTGAGGCAGTGGGTGTGAGGCAGTGGGTGTGGGGCAGTGGGTGTGAGGCGGTGGGTGTGGGGCAGTGAATGTGGGGCAGTGGGTGTGGGGCAGTGGGTGTGAGCAGGTGGGTGTGAGCAGGTGGGTGTGAGCAGGTGGGTGTGAGCAGGTGGGTGTGAGCAGGAGGGTGTGAGCAGGTGGGTGTGAGCAGGTGGGTGTGAGCAGGTGGGTGTGAGCAGGTGGGTGTGAGCAGGAGGGTGTGAGCAGGAGGGTGTGAGCAGGAGGGTGTGAGCAGGAGGGTGTGAGGTGGCTGTGGTGATGGCCGCCCCTCCCCACTCACCCCAATCCCCCACATTCCCAGCTTCACCCTGCGTGTTACGCCTCCCAGACGGAACCTTACAGAACCACTCAAACTCCTCTCCCCTCTCCCCTACGCACCATCTACACCACCTTTCCAAACCCCACTCTCCCCACCTCCCTAGCTTCACGGGAAATGAGGGTGTTTTTGAGACGTCTAAAAACATCCTCATTCCACATGGCTTAATTGTTAGTGTTAGCCCTCAATCTCACATTTTGTACTTGTAATTTCTATATCCTAGTTTAGTGTAGTTTGCACTATGTGTCTGGTTGGGTGTACACCCACATCCCAACCAAACACAAATGTGATCTTCAAGCAATCTCCAACCCACCAATTGGAGATTGCCTTTGTGTTACCCCCAATTCCTAGAGATCGCCCCTGATTCCCTCCCCATCCATTCCTTGCTCATTCTGGATGTACTTAAAGAGCTTCAAGCTCATTACCAATGCATGGACTCGAAGCTCTAGTTCTGACACCCACCTCCCCAGCTTCACCCCTGTCTGCTGCCAGTGGAAACAACATTCTACGCCTCCCAGGAGGAGATTGACAAGCCATGAATGAACCCAGGCTATAAGGCGTGTACCCAGGTCTGTATAAATGACCACCATCCAGGAAGCCGTGAATCCTCTCTTTCCTCATATCCCCACCCCTTCTCCCCTCTGCTCCATTCACCTTCCTAGCTTCATCTTCATCTGCTGCTCCTTGTTTCCGTACCCCTTTGTCTGCTGCCAGTTTTTTTGTATCCTCCTCCCTTTTGCCACTAAGCCTATCCCTCTCCCTTCTCCCATATCCTCCACATTGTCTCCTCACAGCATCTCCCTCTGGCTGCTGCCAGTTGAAACCACCTGCTGTTCCTCCCAGTGGTTGCTGTGCCTCCCAGTGGCTGCTGTGCCTCCCAGCAGAAACCTTACCGATTCCTCTCCCTTCACCCCCCTTCCGCTTCCCCTTCCTTCCCTTCACTGTTTCACCCTCCGGCTGCTGCCTGTGAAACGTGCTACGCCTCCCAGGAGGAGATTCGAAGAGCATGTATCCTCCCCCTCCGCCTTTTGCCAACCAGCCTGCTCTCCCTTCTCCGATCTGCACCATTCAACCCTCCCCTCCCCCACCTCAGCTTCACCCTCCGCCTGCTGCCAGTGAAAACCACCTGCTACGCCTCCCAGGAGGAGATTGCCTCGGCCAGTTATCCTCATCATTGCCGCTAACAGCCTCCCTTCTTCCATCCCTTCGCTTCATTCACCTCCCCATCACAGCTTCACCCTTCGCCTGCTCCCAGTGGAAACCACGTGCTACGCCTCCCAGGAGGAGATCGCCTCAGCCATCAAGCCTCTCATTGCCGCCCACTTCCCCCTGGTGGGCCAATCAGCAAGCGACATGTCCGAGGCCCAACCCAAGGGAGCAACGGTATGTATGAGTATGGTCGCTTGGTAGGGGGTTTGCATTGCGATAGGTCACTGTTCATCCTCGGTACGGCCTTGCTTGCGTTCTTTCCGCTTCAAGGTGTGTGTTCAGGCTTTAAGGCTTTGATACTTAGACGCCCACACCCTTTTTCAAGTCGACTCAAAAGGTGTGCGTTGGTGTCCACATGATCCCTATAGGCGCTCATCCCCCCTATGCACATCCTCCCTATAGGCGCACAACCCCCCATGCACATCCTCCCTATAGGCGCACAACCCCCCATGCACATCCTCTCTATAGGCGCACAACCCCCCATGCACATCCTCCCTATAGGCGCACAACCCCCCATGCACATCCTCCCTATAGGCGCACAACCCCCCATGCACATCCTCCCTATAGGCGCACAACCCCCCATGCTCCTCCGTTATAGGCGCACAACCCTCCATGCACATCCTCCCTATAGGCGCACAACAACACATCCCACCCATTATTTGCATCATGTCCACTTGGTCATCATAAAACCAAAGGTAAACAAGAAAATCAGAAAATGAGGTCTGCATAAGTTGATGAAGTGCAAATCAGTGAGAAGTTCCTTCGCTTCTTTAAACTACACATCACTAATACCAAACGCCTGAGCTATTTTTACTTATTATATTCTTCCTCTGAGGGTTACTTACCAGTTTGTACAGCTTGAAATTTTGGTTGATACAGAGCTTGACCTTTCCCTCCTGGGTTCAGCATACATCCTCGTTTTGTCTCACCAGTTGACTTTTGAGTCGATTCAAAAGTCAACCTTCGTGATTCAGTGTGCATCCAACTTATAGGCTCACCTTGTATTCCATGACATGCTTCCTCTTTCCTGTACAGTTTGGAATCATAATTGAGAATCGAGCCAACTAAGGGCTTGACCTTTCTCTTCCGGGTTCAGCATACATCCTCTTTATAGGCACCCCTTGCATCCCGTTACATGCCTCCTCTTTCCTGTACAGTTCGGAATCATATTTGAGAAGCGAGCCAACGAAGGGCTTGAGAGAGCAGGAGTCATTGACACTGTAGCCAAGCTGGTGCCTGCTCCGCATAAAGTGGACCTCCGGAACCCAGACAAGACCATCATGCTGCAAGTGGTGAAGGTATGACATGCATGCACCGGGCTGTACATTCATAGGCATGGTATACCAAGCTGGTGCCTGCTCTGCATAAAGTGGATCTTGGCAACCCAGACAAGACCATCATGCTGCAAGTGGTGAAGGTATGACATGCATGCATATGTGCACCATGCCGTGTGCTCATGCAACATGTGGTCTGCTCATATACCATGCTGTGTGCTTATTGATCGTGATGGTATGGTATATCAAGCTGGTGCCTGCACCGCCTAGAGTGGATGCCAGCAAATCAGACAAGCCCATCATGCTGCAACTGGTGAAGGTACGGCATGCATACATGCATGCACCATGCAGTGTGTTTATCAATCATGGTATGGTTTATCATGCTGCTGCGTGCTCTGCATAGAGTGGATCTCCACCGTCCTGACAAGACCATCATGCTGCAAGTGGGGAAGGTATGGTGGGCTTTTGAGTCGAGTCAAGAGCAGACTCATAGAGTGGATCTCCGCCGTCCTGACAAGACCATCATGAGGTGAATTTTGAGTCGACTCAAAAGAGTGGACGTGTAGCATGGTATGTCAAGCTAGGGCATGTACCCCCATAGAGTGGATCTCCGCCATCCTGACAAGACCATCATGAGGTGACTTTTGAGTCGACTCAAAAGTGGATCTCCACCGTCCTGACAAGACCATCATGCTGCAAGTGGTGAAGGTACGACATGCACACATGCATGCATCTTGTGCTGTGTGTTCGTTAACCATGGTATGTCAAGCTAGGGCGTGTACCCCCATAAAGTGAATCTCCGCCATCCTGACAAGACCATCTTGCTGCAAGTGGGGAAGGTATGGCATGCATGCATGCTGTATGTTCATTGACCATGGTATGCCAGGCTGGGGCATGTACCCCATATATCTGGTTTCCGTGGTTTGAGGTGGCGTATGTTACTGGTGTAGTCTGCTTGGTGAATAGTTCGCTTCTTGCCAAACGCGCAGCTGTTTTCGTTTTTGTTGGCTTCTTTGCATGGCAATCTTATTTCCCCCCAAATTGGATTTGCTGTTGCTTGGGTTGGAGTGAAGTTAGATGTTTCAATCCCCTAGCATGTGGTTTCGTGGTGTAGTTGGTTATCACGTCAGTCTAACACACTGAAGGTCTCCGGTTCAAGTCCGGGCGAAGCCACTTTTTAACGGAGTTCGTCAACCAAAAATCCAAGCTATCTAGCGCCACTTCTTACTCTTCTTGTCTCCACTGCCCTCTCTCTCACTCAACTCGTGTTCTCAGTGTCCCTCATTCCACCCCTCCACTCCCTCTCTCTCCCCCAGACCATCTGTTTCATCTCCATCCTCGCAGACTTTAAAGCCCTGGCCAAGTACAACCCGTGCCAGTTGTGCCTCCCCCAGGAGGAAGCCAAACCCGGTGCTACTGGGGAAGCCAAGCCAAGCCTCTCCCCCACTGGACTCATTCTCCAGTTTCCCCTATTCCACCCCTCCATTCCCTCTCTTCCCCAGACCATTTGTTTGCCAAGTGCACAATGTTTATCCCATCCCCATATTACTCTTACCCCCCTCCACTCCCCCACCCCACCCTATTCTCTCCCTCCCTCTCTCTCCCCTAGACCATCTGTTTCATCTCCATCCTCACCGATTTCAAGGCCCTTGCCAAGTACAACCTGCGCCAGTTGTGCCTCCCCCAGGAGGATGCCAAGCCAGGTGCTGCTGGGGAAGCCAAGCCTGCTGCTGCTGTGGAAGCCAAGCCTGATGATGCTGCTGATGCTAGCGCTAGTGATGATGGGGGCGATGGTACCGGTAATGCTGGTGAGGACTGAACAGGCTGCTTTGGGATTTAAGCTAAACTTGGAATCTGTGAGTAGTAAAGATAGTAATGATAGTGTTTGCAACCCACGACGACATGATAAAATATGCACGGAAATCTTGAAGGACACAGTGTTAAGTTCATTGTGGCAGGTGTTCCTACAGCCCTGCCCGCTATTGTTCCTGCAGCCCCATCTGCAGCCTTCCGCACCAAACCAGGAGCATCCGCTTTTGTAGCAGGTCCTGAGGCACATCCTGGTGCTTATGCAGCCCCATCCGCAGCAGCACTTGTCGTTCCCGGTGCGGCTCCTGCTCCCACTTCTTCAGCCTCTCCGACGGCCGCCACCCCTGCTGCGGCTGCGGCCTTTGCCGCCCCCGGTGTGGCCTCTGCCGCCCCTGCTGTGGCTTGTGCCGCCCTTTCTGCCCGTGCTGTCCAGCTCGTGCATGCAGCCCTATCCTCTGCAGGTCCTTAGCTAGCTTGATTTTAAGGCTGTATATTTTAGTAGAAACTTCGATCTCGTGACTCCATGGCCCAACGGATAAGGCGCTGGTCTACGGAACCAGAGATTCTGGGTTCGATCCCCAGTGGAGTCGTCGACAGCACTGATTAAATGCAAGAAGGAGTTTTTGGGGCTTCAACAATTTTTGTCCTGCTACTACTCTAGGAAGTTTCTTTAGGCAGGAATCTGCGCACTGACAAGGCTATCTTCAACAAACAGCAAAGCAGGGCGCGAATGACAGTGGGAGCAGATAAACAGAAGCTTGAAAGGGAAAGTCAGAATCTTCAGCGGCCTCGCGCCCAAACAAGGTGTTGCGGACTCGTGGGGCATGTTGTTGCCTGCACAATGTAGATAATCTTCTTGGGACTCGTCCAAGGGCCGGCCCTCCACGTGACGAGGACAGATGTGGTTGACCGTCCCCTCACTGCGTTCCTCAAAAAGGTCGCATGCACGATGAACCGCGAAGTTTATAGCGGATGCTATGTTTTCGGCCATAGCGTTTGCAATGGCCAGCCCACCAATATCTAGCGCTGTGTTAATAACTCACGTGTTGCGTGATGGCATGGCTTTATAGGAGGCATCCTCACCCCAGTCTTGGAACTCAGGCTCCCTTGGTGCCTGGTGCCTGTTGACATAATCACTGGGGGTGTGGAGGCAGCAGGAGGGCTCGGTGGCGCACATGTATAAGAGATGGCAATGCGAGGGGTCAGCGGCGCATCAACCGTAGTGTTGCGTGACACCCTCCTAACGAAGGAGCCGCCACTAGTGGCAGCGACACGGATTGTGGCATCCAAACTTGCTTCGGCTTGAGGTGGGTTTGCCCCAGCGTGCACCTAAACGGTGGGACCTGATGGGCCCAACCGCGCTGGGTGTTGTCGGGGTGGTACCTGTAAGAGGGATAGGGCAGGGATTTTGGCGACGGGTTAATACAAATAGGGGATCAGGACTAGCGGGCAACTTGTATAGTAGTGCTGTTACGAGTTCATTGTAAGTTACCGTGGGCGGCATACATTCGGAGTTGTAGTGGCGGGACCACTTGTCACACGGTGCAGTGGCTGCATCACATGCCAATTTCCTTGGATGGAGTCCATCTAAGGGTACCAAGTGGGCAGGTAGCGCTGTGCGGCTGCGCCAGTAATTAAAATTGCGGGTGACGTTTAAGGAGTAGCTGATGAAGGGAAGTCCGGTGGTTTGTTCCTTGAACTCCCCTCATGAAGTCCCACTCCACATTCAGGTCAACACGGGCTTGTACCAGTTGCTACATCTCTGATAAAGTCTAGTGAACACATGCATGTCCGTCTGTAGGGATGTCACAGTTAGTGATCGTATTTCTCATAAGGTGAACCCGTGTACAGTTGCCACAGTCGTCAATTTCGGAGATCTTGTCGACGTGGTCGGGTGTGCCACCTCCGACATCGTTCTCTTGACCCCGTGATATCCACCAGATAATTGTTGTATTGGTCTACCGCGACGTTCAAGGGATAATCTTCATTGATGTCGTGGAGCGCAATGATAGTGTGCACTGCAACGAATTCTTGTGTTCGAACCACATGGTTCATGGTGGGCGTAGAAGTGGCATGGGTGCCTGCAGGTTAGGTCATTGCTAGACTAGTAGATGGCTTGTGGTAATTGTAGTTTATAGTAGGAGCTGTATGTTTGAGCACGCTTACGATATAGAAACACTGAGGCAAAAATGCCCCATATTAGCCTAGTCCTCACTAGACATAAATCGTTTTTCTCAACCATCCCAGCGCCCTTTCATCAAGGTTGTGTGAGATGTTGGCGGGCCGTTACTCGAGGGGTGTAGGTTGCAGTTATAAGTGAATTGATGCACGGTGCCGCATATTTGGGCACCAACACGAGCATTGAATATCTGCCACACAATGGAAACTGATGCCCACAGTTTGCAATGGGTCATTGATTAATTATGTCTTATTCAAATTGTTGGAGACACCAAATTCTCAAAGAGAAATTGGATGGGAACGATCCTTATTCAACTATGTCTTTTAGCAAAGAGGCCACATGTTACACATAACAAGATTGCACATTGGTCAGTATGTCTCATTTGCATGTGGTTTTGACACAAGGAAATGGATGGCAATGGCTCTTATTCCTGACTTGCCTTGCTTTAGAAACCTTTGCTGTCACTACTAGAAGTCCTTAAAAGACACTTCCACCTTAGCAACTGAGTTTAGAACTGTGGGACTCTGTGGAGAGATGATTTCACCCTTATCCATACCACATGAATGTTGCCCATCACACTCACCTCATTTTGAATGCTACCATGACAATACATTTTTATTCACATCACTAAGGGGCATGTGAGGTGAGCAATATTCCCAACCTCAAACAACATGGCTTGCAATGTACAGTCCGGCTTTATATAGTTTCTACCCCATGATACTCCTCGCAGGTTTGTGAATCTTTACCTATTTCACCGTAAGTTCTCATCGCGAAATTACAATGATCGAAAAGTGGCGTGCCAGCAACTTCGAAGTTGCTTTTCCGCAACTTGGGTTTCGGAGAAAAAAATATAGGTCAAACGCTACAGGGGTAGGGCTACATGCAAAGTGACTTCTCCGCAACCTTGCCGCAGCTTTGGTTCAACGCTGTCAGCAACCCACCAGCGACCCACATATTGTTGATGGAGTCACATTTCCGTGATGTCCTCGTCAGTGACATTAACGACACCATGCCATCACTTTATGGCTGCACATGGGTGTGACCAGATTGCTACATTTGAGCATAGATGGAGTCACCATTCCACGTCATCGGGAAAAGTCCACGTGGAATTACGCTTTATGCCAGATGGAACCGGATCTCAGACGAATAAAAACGTGCCGCGTATAGGGTCTTGGTGGCCACAACTGTACGGCCGAGATCTTAGCATCCCAACTTTCGAAGTTTGTTCCTCTCACAACATTTGGCCGTACCATATAGGCGGCACAATACATATCACTCAGTAGCGTTGGTAGCGCTCGGTAGCGCTACCGTTTCGCTAAACGACGCTACAGGGTGAGTCAGCATTCTGCCCGCGGGCAGAAAAAACTAAAACCCATCCGGACTCCATGCAACTCGGGATCCTCAACCCTTAAATTTTAGGGTTGATGCCTCCCGAGTTGCATGCGTTCCATGTGGGGTTTATTTTTTCTCCTTCCCGCTGACTCATTGCACTGCCTGCTAACGCAGGCAGTGGAATATATTATCCAGATAAAGTGCGATCACCATCACACTCAATCCCGAGCGTTCGAGCAGACCACATGTTCGGGTGCGATTAACCATCCTTACTGTCTATACGGCCTCACGTCATCGGATCGAAGAAACTCTCTGTCCACCTCGGACACCTCAGGTCACACGCGGCGACATATAATAATCGTATAGCTCTCGATATTACACATCCGAAAACCTCCAGCAACCAAATGGCGAAAGGAGACTGGGTGATGAACCACTCTCGATAATAGATACCATATACAGGTCGTACACGTCGCATTCTTAAATGACTCCCAGTGTGACTCGTTACGAGACGTCTATCGCATCCAACGTTCAAGATTAAAACGACCGCACTATACGCCACATGTTGCGGCGCGACTTGCGCCGTGCGACAATGGAGCTGTAGAAGAGACACACGTGCACTGACCTGGGTGAACTGCGCAGCTACCTTGGCTTGCAGATCACCCGGGACAGAGCACGCCGCACCATTACCCTGACTCAGTCACACATGGTGCAGCAGGTCCTTCAGCGCTTCGGCTTCACGTACTCCTCACCTCAGGCCACTCCTCTGCCTACTCGCCACTCGCTCTCAGCTCTGCCTTCGGATGAGTCTGTAGAGTCGAGTGGCCCGTATGCAGAGCTTGTTGGCTGCCTCATGTACCTGATGACCTGCACACGACCTGACCTTGCATACCCTCTTAGCATTCTCGCACGCTATGTTGCTCCTGGGAGACACCGACCAGAGCACATGGCTGCAGCGAAGAGGGTGTTGCGCTACTTGTGCAGTACGTCGGGCATGGGGCTAGTGCTTGGAGGGCGCAGTCCAGTGGTCCTTACTGGGCACGCGGACGCTTCTTGGGCTGACGACCAGGCTACACAGCGGTCGTCACAGGGTTACACCTTCAGCCTTGGCTCCGGCTCTGTTTCGTGGCGGGCTACCTGCGCGTCTTCTGTCCTCGGCTCCAGTTGTGAGGCTGAGATCTACGCCGGGGCTATGGCTGCCCAGGAGCTTTGCTGGCTCACCTACCTGCTGACCGACCTTGGAGAGCCGCCTCGTTCTCCTCCAGTCCTATACGTAGACAACAAGGGCATGCTGGCCTTGTGTCGAGAGCAGCGACTGGAGCACAGGACAAAGCACATTGCTCTCCGCTACTTTCTTGCTCGTGAGCTACAGCAGCGTGGACAGTTGCGACTTGCGTACGTGGCCTCTGAGGCCAACACTGCTGATGTCTTCACCAAGGCACTTGCGCCTTGTGATCATCAGCGCTGCTGCACGCAGCTGGGTCTTGTGCCTGTCTTGCCTCACTTGCTCACTTCTTGACCTTGCTTGTACCTTCGCCTATATATACTCTTGCTCTTGCTTGCTTGACTCTCGTATATCTCTATATGTGATCTCGCATGTGAACTGGCCTTCTGGCCTTTGAACTTGTGCTCGGAATGTGTGGTGACTTTGTGATCCACCCTGAGCTTTGCTTTGCTTTGCTTGACTGGTCTTGTGACCCCTTGTTCTCCCCCACTTTGCCTATGGGGGTGTGTCAGAACATTGTAGCTTACTTATTTGTGTAGGCTATAGTGGGGTATCCCATGAGGGGTACAACCCAATTAAGGTTTCCTATGTGTACTCACTTCGTTCATAGTCAGGACTGGAGGAGAACGAGGCGACTCTCCAAGGTCGGTCAGCAGGTAGGTGAGCCAGCGAAGCTTCTGGGCAGCCATAGCCCCGGCGTAGATCTCAGCCTCACAACTGGAGCCGAGGACAGAAG